CCTTCTTTTTTTCAGTTTTTTTGGGTTTTTTTTTTTTTTTTTTTTTTTAGGAAAGGGTGGAAAGTGGATGGATGAGCAACAGAAGACTGTTGGAGACCTTGTTTTGATTGTTGAAGGCTAACTTGTCCGTCCAAGAGTCACCAGCCTCTTCACATCTTTCTGGAGAAAAACAGAGGAAAAGAGAGTTGTGAATGACTCACATTTTGAGACGATCAAGGTTCATCCTCGATTAAAGAATCGCGCAACAAGAGTTGGGCTGAGCGGATTAAAAACACAAAGGGAGGAAATGGTTACAGTGCGCATTCCAAAGGAGCTGCTTGGACACCGCATGAAACTCGAGGCAAGTTTCGGCAAGAGAAATTAGCCTGGACTGAGTCACCCAGCAGTCCTCAAACTCATCTACCGGTGTGACACAATGACAATGACACACACATGTTACTCACACGCCTCATTCATGTCACAGTGACTCATCACATTCCAGTTATTCCAAGAAAAACTCATTTCTCAACAAAAGAAATCATCATCCTTTCCCTTTATCATTGTTATACTAATATACACAACGAGGCCAATGATACCATGATGATAGTTGTGCGCTTCAATGTCAATTTATTTTGATTTGAATTTATTGATATAGCTCTGAATCCCAAAGACGTCTCAAGGCATTTTACATGTAGAACAAGTCTAGAAACATACTGCTCAATCCATGAAGAGATCAACTGACAAGATTAGGGATGTTTTTCGACCCAATATCCGTAAGACTACTCAACTCTCACTGGTACTGATACTAAGTCGCTGATACCCCGTGTACTTTTGATCCATAACATTTCTATTAAACCAATGAAATATAATTTAAAAAAAAAACAAAAAAAAACTTGTATTCATTTCTGACAAAGGGCAGAAAAAAAGAATCTACAATAGAGAAAAAAAATAAAGAACCAGTCCAGAATTTAAGTCCGAAATAAAACACAAATTAACTTGGTATTTAGGATTCAATTGTAATAAATTAATAAAAGTGCAAAATAAAAATGGCATCTCCCGGATTTTTAGTCTTTGTTTTAAAATAAATTGAAGTTCAAAATAATACAGTTTCAACTATTAAATGCCAAACATGGCACTGTGGAAAAAAGGGCTAGTCATTACAGTGGAATAATATGATGAATATAGCTTTTTTTTTTTTTTTTTACTAATTGCAAATATAAAATTGGTTAAATATTAAATACAACAAATGTAACTATCCAGAGAAAAATGTATCATACAAATTACAACTTACAAATTTAAAAAAAAGGAAGAAACAGGTGAGTTTAGCACATCGTATAATACATGACAAGTAAAAGCTGCCTAACCTACATTCAGCAGGAAAAAAATGACCTTCAAAATGAACTGAATAACAACATTATTTATTTTTTGTCTCAGTTGATGAGAAGCAGGTAAAGGTAAAATATATGCATGAAATACCGTAATGCAGAAAGTTATACCACCACCAAGTGAGTAAACAAATAAACGTATCATTTTGGTAGCGGCACACTAATAATGCACTGCAAGCATTATTATAAACCTTATAAAAATACATATATCTATAGATATTGCATCATATAGGGAATATGAGAGATTGTCGATGGTATGGAAAGGAGAATTATGTTTTGTCAAACTAGGTAACCGTACATCCAGCAACAGCAGTATCAATATTTGATGCCTTTGTACTGTAAAATTAAACAATACATGTGTGACATGTTGATTTGTACAGATTTACTGTTTCCCTCATGCTGGCGATTGTTTAGGACTAAATCCCAGACAGGGCCTCGCTCATCCCTAAATGTTTGCATATCAGACGCAAGCGGCATGGTTACAGCCACATCACACAGCATTTATCAGCGCACTCAATCAAAAGCAGCAGTGCGAGGGGTGAACAAGTGGAGTGACAATGGCGGCAAATCCCGAAATCAAGAACGATTAGGCGTAGCGATCCAACAGGGGTAATTACAGAGGAGCTGAAGGAGGTGCGAGGGGGCAAAACGGGGGTTTGGTTGGGCTGAACCTGCGTCATTCACCAAGCTCTGAATTTGCATTTCCAGCAGCGAGGCTGCCACAAATCAAAGGTGATGGGTGTGTTTGGAATAATCAGTGAATTAAGAAGCACTTCATGCCATGATGAGGATTCATTCAAGCCCGGTTTAATTCCAAGATTTGGGATTTCCTCTGAAGCTCATCAAGGTAACGATGGCGTAATTCACCTTTACATTGCTTCCATTTTATATATATATATATATATATATATACACAGTATTTATCAGACCATAAGGCGCACTTAAAATTTTCTCAAAATTCTACCATGCGCATTGTTCTCATCCGCATATAATCTTGAGCAGGCGTCCATGTTTTCGTCATACTACAATTAAAACAACTTTAAAAAAAACACCTTTAATGGCATATATAGCTTTGGTTCATAAATGATGGTTCAGTTAGCAACGTAGCATTTTTTCGTTCGAGATCAGCCCGCGGTATGGCTCAGATAAAGTCAAAGTGCTATTCGGAAGCCCCGACATGTGTTGTGGAATCTGGAACAGATGAATTATATTTCAATCCATGTTAATGGAAAAACATTGCTTCGGCTGAGGAACTGAGGCTCTATTATACAAACAAAATGCCTGAATGTGGTTTGCAGACTCAGATGTGGTAGTTCACAGTGGGTGGTGTGCTGTTTATTCAGTATATCTGTTCCTAAAGAGCGAAGCAGGCTTACACATTTAACAAGGTTTTGCGTGTTAACCAATTTTGACATGTGAGAGACCCCATACAAGACAGGGAAAACATCACTGTGTGTGCCTACCGCTCGTCCTCTTACTATTCTAGGCTAACTATTAGCTTAACTCATCGTACATTATGGTGAATGGCCTGTGAAAGACGTTATACAAACTGTGGCACAATCAGTTGCTCCTCCTACTTGTGCCTGGCTGCCGTGCAAGCTTCAGGTCGCTGTCTAATTGGTTATAGTTTGTAATAAGCTGTTTTTTAAAAACGTTTTTTCTTATTTCTTTATTCCACAGTTATAATATCCGTAGCTCAGCCAAACTTAAAAATTGAACAGTTTTTTTTTTCTTTCATGACTTTCAGCCCGATCATTTTCTGAGGAAGTCAGGAAGGAAATTTTGATTTACATTACCTACATCACAGGATAATTGCCTCAGATAATCTTTTCAGAGACATCTAAGGGCCTTTGCTGTTTTGGATTGCAAGAGAGGGAAAATGCAAATATTTGGACTGATTGTCGCAATATGTTGTATTTTGGTGCCCACGGCAATTATTTTCTGAACGGTATCTTAGCCATAATTGCAGTCACCCCATCACCTTTTTCATTCCAGGTCAGGACATGAATATGTCTCATGAATCATTCTTGTTGCATTTATATGGTAATTTCTGCCTCTGTAAAACTGACTCACCATAAAGAAAGAGCGGCACTTTGAAGCAGAGAGTGCAAACGCTTAGAGCGGCGTTGTTTTCATTCTTTTCAAATCCAATACTCAATTGCTGAACTCGGCGAGGTCGGCCTCGAGTGCGACAAAGACGCAGTCGGGCTATCAACCAAAACAAAGATTTAGTTCAAACCATATGAATGGATCAACTTGGCGGGGGCACATATTCACACCGTCCATTCAGTCACTGTGTGTAGCATGTAAAGGGAGTAAGCAAAGATGGATGAGAGTCAATGTCATACACGAACCATTAAAGGGTGTTGGGAGAGTCGCGTAAAAGCTCCCAGGGGGTCAACGGCCGCAAGATTCGTGTGGAAAAGCTGGCTCAGCAGCTGGCTGATCCTGGCTCCAAAGGGATCTCTACATTGCACACCGTGTGTGCAAACTCAAACAAAGAGCATAGTGGAGTATAGGCAAGAGTAAGACGTGGGCGGGCCGGGTCTCGTCCTTGCCATTTTTTCTTTTTTTTCTTTTTTTTTTGAAAGTTGCTCTTGCTCTTTCATGAGCATGCAAATAAACGGCTTCTGGGATAAATGGAATAGAACTCCTACGCTTTCAAAACAGCTTGAGCAGCAGGCCTCAGGACCTGTGTTCATCGACACACGAGTGAATAAACTTCCAATATGCAGAACATCGGAGACCAATTGTGTCCCTGCAAATTGATGGGACGACTCAGGCCTCAGGATCCAACTTGCAGTTTAATGATATGTATGCCAGCACAATAGCACTAAATGATGATTTAGTGCAATATTTAGGGTATATCAACAGTGATTGGGTATCACTAGAGAAAAAAAATTTTTTTTTCAATGTTGCTTGCCACCTTTTAATGAAAATTCTACTTTGACGTACTCCAAATTGTCAAGGACTGTATTTCGGTGTCAAAGTTACAAACCTATTTTGAACACAGTTTATCAGTTAAGCATTTAACACCATCGAGTGCTTATATGTCATTCTTCGCTGTGTAGGAAGTGTAAAAAGAAGTTAAGCTCTGGTTATAACAGAATGTACAAACAATAACAGCCTATAAAAACTTTGTCACTGTGATGAATTACATTTCTACATTTTGCAATCATTTGAAGACAAGCAGAAGGTCTTGGGGTTGTCACGTGAATCACATTGTGTTTGTACTATCAGCACTTGTGTTCTCCCCAAGTGTGCCAGTGTAGACCGATGTGAAAATGAGTCTGACTCCTGATGGAAAAAAAAAGGCAGGAAATTCAATGTCCGGGATGAGTAGCTGCATGAGATCAGCAGGCTGTGGTCTTTAACAGAGACAAATTCCAAGAAATACAAATTCTGCTGTTGATACCCACGACATTTGCTGAGAATAACGCAACTGCCGGCCAGTCTAAGCATTCGATTTAGCTATACAGTGGACCAAGCATACTTGCGGTTTTGGCACTCACGGAGTCACATATTTGCTGGGGTTTTTTTCTATTTTCCAATATTTTTTAATGGTTAATATATTTTTTTAGTTGTTGCCCCCCCCCCCATTTGACCCCCATTTTTCATGGAAAAGCATAGTGAATGTTTATCAGTGCTTTTTTTTTTTTAAAGATTTGTATTTATATATTTGCAAATGATTTTGTGTTTCCCAAAGAATTTCAATGAGCCTCAATTATGCGCTGATATTTGTGGGCCGTATAAAACATTCAAACAAAGTTTCTGCATTTTTTTGTCCAAGTATTT